GATTAATGTGTGTAAGTCCTATCAGCACTGTCACTGGTTACAGGTTAGCTTTTATTAATCATTTATACATCAGTTTGTTACAGTGAACATCTAAACCTCTTTTCCCTCATCGATCTCCATGGAGTGTTGCATTGTGGGTAGATTGCAGGTGGCTCACTGTTGGCTCGTTACGACGGTTCCTGTGACAGAGACACAAGCTGGAGACATTTTCTCATATAAGAGCAACTTCTCAAATTATCACGACCTAAAAAGTTTTAATGTTTTGCGTCAGAGAATTAAAAAAGCATCATTCTGCAAAAAAAAGATTAAATATTTTGCATCCGCATGATTTGAATGATCATATATTTGTACAAGAATACGCACCACACGAACACGACACTAGGCATATTTAACTGTCTCTGGATGCAGCTCGCTAACCTATTATGCTAGCTAGTTGATACCTTTGCACTCCAGCTTTTAGTTCAAACATGAAAACTTCTGGTTCCAAACAGCAGACAGGACAAGACTAAAATCTTAAAATCAAGTTTTATTCTTTTAGTGCTACAGCGCCCCCTGGTGTGTGGATGCTCTAGTTCCTGTTTTTTTGTTTTTGTTTTTTAACAAGAAACAAGTTACTGATTAATCAAGAAGAAATTAATTCAAAGTGCTATACTCTATATAGTGCCACATATAAAATATACTAAACATACTTCACTGACTCACCCTCTTCCTCACAGCTCACATGTGATTGGAGAAGGAAGTCGGCGCCCCCTGCTGGTTGGAACCCTGACTGTACTGCACGTCCTGGAGGAGGCAAGAAAACAAAAACCAGGACATATTCAGCCTGTAACTAATCATTATTTTCATTAGTTCGGTTTATTTACTTAACTGAAGGCTGGAACAATGAAATGTTTGGATTACAGGTAAGTCATCAGGAGCCAAAATAAAACATGCAGAGCGACCCCTTGTGGCAAGAAAGCAGTCAAAGGTAGCTAGCTAATCAATCTTTGATTAACTAGCATCACATCATCTAGTCAAAGACCTTCAGGTGTGCGATTACCTGCTGCAGCATTTTGTTTCCTGAGCATTAGCTCACAAATGTCTTCTCACCTGGGGATATCCCTCCTGGCTGCAGTCAGGTGGGTAGCCTGCCTGTTTGTTGCTGTATGTTTCTTGTTCGTTGGCCCCCTGCTTGACGTGGGCGTCAGGTGCAGCAGGTTTCTCCTGAGGAGGCGGAGCCAACACGGAGTCAGCGATGATGCCCGTCTCCCTATAGATGAACCAGAGGTTTCCCGCCCACAGGACCAGGTTAATGAAACCAAATGCCTGAGACGGGAGACAGTGAAGGTCAACCCTGGAGTCTCTGTTTAGATGTAGATTCAAAACTTTATCAACACAGAATAGAAGAATAGAATAGACCTTTTATTGTCATTGTACAAGCACAATGAAATTATGGGACATTACGGAACATCATAATGAAGAACGTTCCAAAGTTCTCAAATTCAAATTTCTGCAGATTTTTGTTCCTGGAGTTGCAGTTTCTCCAATGGCCACTTGAAGCCCACTCCAGAAACTAGTCAATCCCAACAGACTTCCATGTCAAAACACCTTTGCAGTAGAAAATATCATGTTTACAAAAGGGTTTAGTTTCCATAGCCAGTTTCACATTTTATAAATGTTACTGGGGAGGAGTTAAAAAGAAGTATCATTGTTTTAAATTATATTATGGCTTCAAAGTATGAATGATTGGGACTGAGGCCACACTGAGTGACAGGTAGGACACCAGTTCTTCAGTGTGTGGTCGCATTAAAAGACAAATTGTGTGTCGCACTCGGGTGTTTTTGGATGCACAGATATTTGTGCCTCAAAGCTCCTTTCTTTAGTATAAACATTAGCTGAAATAAGTAAATTTAACATATTTTCAGAGATTAGTCTTATGATGCCACAGTCAACATTACTTCCTCTTCTGTGGAACCAGCTTCCAGTTTG